TCTTGATTATAATCTATGATATGCCAAGTTCCCGTGCCAGTTCTAAACCTGCAATGACAGCTTCATACTCTGCTTCATTGTTAGTTATCGAATGACACTTTATAGCTTGTCTAATAGTTTCACCCGTGGGTGGTACGAGAACTATTCCTAAACCTGCGCCTTTTACATTAGATGAACCGTCAGTGAATAAAGTCCAAGTCCCCGGGTTTGCACCATTAAAAACTTGTAATTCTTTTTCAGCTTCTAACTGCATCCCCTGACTGAAATCAGCTACGAAATCAGCTAATACCTGAGATTTTATAGCAGTCATAGGTTGATAAGTGATGTCGTACTCACTTAATTCTATAGCCCATTTTGCTAACCTACCTGATAATTCATGTTTATGCAAAATGTTTCGTAATGGAAAAGCAGTAACCACAGCAATGGGATGACATTAAAAATAAGGTCTTAATTTTCTAGACGCCATGATCAAAGCAAGCGCTAACTTTTCTAGTTGCGGGTACCGTGTTTCTGCATCTAGCAAAGACTTGCTTACATAATAGATAGGAGATTGCTTACCTTGATCCTCCCGGACTAAAACAGCACTTACTGCAACTTCTGACACGGCAAGATATATGAGTAACTTCTCTCCTACCTTTGGTTTCGCCAACAACGGTGGATTTGACAAATATACTTTCAGATTCTTAAGTGCTTGTTGACAATCTTCGTTCCATTCAAAATGATCCTGTTTCTTTAAGGCTGAGAAAAATTTGAAGCATTTTTCTGAAGACTTGGAAATAAATCTCCCCAAAGTTGCAATTCTCCCAGTTAGCCTTTGAACTTCTTTTTTACTCGTAAGTACATCTGGAATTTCTTCAATGGCCTTAATTTGTGCAGGATTCACTTCAATTCCACGGTTAGAAACAAGAAAACCTAAAAATTTTCCTGATGCCACTCCAAATGCACATTTTTCTGGATTCAACTTCATATTATATTTTCGCAAAATTTTAAACGTATCAGATAAGTGCGATATATGATCTTCTGAATGTTGAGTTTTAACTAGCATATCATCTATGTATACTTCCATGGTTTTACCTAAATGTTCTTGAAACATTTGGGTGACCAACTTTTGATACGTTGCACCTGCATTCTTAAGACCGAAAGGCATTACCTTATAACAATAAGTCCCCCTGTCTGTTATAAAAGAAGTTTTTTCTTCATCACCTGGATCCATCTTGATTTGATTATAGCCTGAATATGCATCTAAAATACTTAATAGTTCATGCCCTGCAGTAGCATCAATTAACTGATCTATGTGGGGCAAAGGAAAAGAATCTTTTGGACAGGCTTTATTAAGGTCTGTGTAATCTACACAGACTCGCCACTTACCGTTCTTCTTAGGAACCACAACAGTATTAGCTAACCAGTTAGGATACTTTACCTCGCGAATCGAACCAATTTTTAGCAATTTTTGAACTTCCTCTTGAATCACCTTATTTTTGAAAGTTCCTTGTTTTCTTTTCTTTTGCTTGACGGGAGGATACGATGGATCTTCATTTAGTTTATGAGTCATCACCTCCGGTGGTATACCTGTCATGTCTGTATGGGACCAAGCAAAACAGTCTGCATTAGCTTTTAAAAATTCAATTAACTTACGTTTTACCTCCGGGCTAAGATTAGCTCCTATGTACACTTTTCTCTCGGGCCAATGTATAAATAACACCACAACTTCTAGCTCTTCTATCGTTATTTTGATGTTATCATTCTCCTCCGGTTCTTGAATGGTATCAGGTCTTGAATCCAGATCTGTTTGCTTCTGCTCAGGTGAGGTTGTTTCCATGTTACCCTCACCTAAATTCTGTAATTGCTATTTGTCTCCACCATTAACAATTGAATCTGCAATGGAATTGATGCTCCTAGATGTTTGTTGATCACCTCTGATTTGGCATATTCCCCATGGAGATGGGAATTTAATAACTTGATGTAGAGTTGATGGGACAGCATCCATATCATGGATCCAAGGTCTCCCCATGATCATATTATAAGCCATTTCCATATCTACTATCTGAAATTTAGTTTCTTTAACAACACCTGCAGCAAAAGTTGTTAGAACTACCTCTCCTTTTGTTACTACACTTGAATTGTCGAACCCGGACAAGGTATGCGCCTTTGGTATCATTTTGTCTTCAGCTTGCATTTCACGTAATTAGTAGTATAATATTTACAGAACTTCCTGGATCAATCAAAACTCGCTTTACATTAGTGTCATGTACAAGTAAAGATATTACCAGTGCATCGTTGTGAGGGGTGATTACTCCTTCTGTATCTGCATCATCAAAAGTGATACTTTCATCTTCTAAGGTCTGTCGCACTCGCTTCCCGTGCGTGATTGTTACTTTGGAAACTTTATTTGAAGCCGTATATGTTACTCCATAAATATCCTCTCCCCCACTTATAACATTCACGATTCTCTTGGGTGATGGGGGCTTTAGTGGTTCTTGCCTATTTTTCATGTAGGCTTGCTTACCTTTCTCACTAAATAACTCAGTGAGATACCCTTGCTTCAATAGATGGTCCACTTCACTTTGCAAGAATCTACATTCTGAAGTCTTATGCCCGTGATCATTGTGAAATTCGCACCAATGATCTGGATTGCGCTTATTTGGATTTGACCGCATCTCTTTTGGCCACCGTACCTTATCTCCCATGCTCCTCAAAACAGCTACGAGCTCGGAGGTAGTGACGTTGAAATTATATCCACCAAATCTTTCCTTCAAACTTCCATCATCATCTCGTGACCCGCGTGTGTTTCGATCATTCCCAAACCTTGATGAGGAGCCTGATTCCCTGTTCCTAGGTCTGTGATCGTACCTTTGATTATCTTGTCTTGACCGTGAGTCCTTTCCCGCAGGTCCCATGTATGGCTCGTACCTGTTTTTACCGGATCTCTTTTCATTTTCAACACGCCTTGAGCTTACCTTTTCTTCTGTTTTATGTCGTAAAATAATGTCTTCTTCAATCCTCATCTTTGTGCTGTATCTGTTGTAGACATCACTCCACGTTGTTGCTGGGAATTCTCGAAGGCTTTCTTTGAGTCGCCTCGTGGCTTCTGAACTCTTCTCATTTAAATTACTAGCAAAGGCTATGGCTGCCCAATTGTCAGGTACTTGTGGCAGCGTCATTCTTTCCCGTTGAAATCTATCTACGAACTCTCTAAGCAACTCTGAGTCTCCTTGCTTGATTTTGAAGATATCTTCCATTCGCTTTTCAACTTTTTGAGCTCCCGAGTGTGCTTTGATAAATAAATCTACAAGCTCAGCAAACGAATTTATAGAATTTTCAGGTAAAAGAGAATACCATGTTAGGGCTCCTTTAGTGAGTGTTTCACCGAATTTTTTGACCAAGACCGACTCGATTTCTTGCTTAGTCAAATCATTGCCCTTGACACCTGTTGTGAATGCAGTAACGTGATCTCGTGGGTCTGATGTACCATCATACTTTGGAATATCAGGCATCTTAAACTTCTTTGGAATTGGAAGGGGAGCAGCGCTTGGCTTCCATGGTTGTTGGGAATATTTATCTATATCCACACCCTTGATCACGGGCGGTACTCCAGGTATTTGCTCTATGCGTTCATTTTGCTCCTTGAGCTGTTTCTGCAAGGTTAGTACTAGACTTTGTAAATCAGAATTAACTGGATTACCTGGATCTCTCTCTTGTGTTTCACTAGGGGTTCCACCGCAGCCAGAATTAATCAACCCTGAACGAGGATTCTCCAAAGTGTTGTTGTTTGGAGCAGACGTGGGTGGAACAGCAGGCAATTGGCGAACAAAGGCTTGGAGAGCGTTATTGACTTGAGAGGCAATAAGTTTTTGCAGAGCCTCATTCATGGTTTCAACGTTTTCGAATTGAGCCTGTCCATCTGTATAAGATCCATCAGGAGTGCCTTCACGAGATCGTCGTGGGGAACCTCGTGGAGAACCTTGTGGAGAGCCTTGTGGGGAATCTCCCTGAAGTTGTTGGACTGTCTGAATTTCTGGGTTTCCTTGAATGTTGTCATTGTTGTTCAACATGATTGATGCAATCAAGAAAATTAGATTGAGATATGCTTGATTATCAGATTCCCGATAACGGAACCAATTTGTTTAACCAAAAAATAGAATTTCGGTTAAAACTAGAAATTAAGAGAAAAAATCGGGTTACTGATAATCAGGAGACGAAAAGAATAAGGAATTTTTGAGAATAATAAAGCAGTAAATAAGTTTGTATTTCAATGTAATCTCAATGATATTTCGTGTCCTTACAAATGCTGAGATCTCCTCCTTTTATAGTTGATTTTTCTAGGAAAAGGTATAATGTCTCAGTCTTAAAGAGGCAATTATGAGCATTAAATGACATTAAATGAAACGTTACACAATCATTCCTATTCAATGCTGATTCGCTAACGTATTTAACATTTAATACTGAATTTAGACTCCTTTATGCTATCAGATTCATATCTTCAATTCCTTCTGACCTCCTGGCTTTAATTAAATTAAATAGATACGAGACTCGTATCATTTGAATAGCATCTCGTGCCTATTTAACTCTCTTCTTTTCGTATTTGATATTGCCCGTGCCCCTCAATTGATCATCATGTTTTGACCATTTGACCAGTCCACGTGTCATGCCATGTCACCTTCAATATAAATTCAATTTTTTCCCAATACAATATCAATATCTAATGAAGAATAATGATTTAAATTCAAATAAAAGATAAATGTATAATGATGAGCCAAATTTATAACCTGTTTTTTATGCATGTAGCATGATCCCTTTCCACAATAGCAATATGATGAAATAGGCTAATATTACAATAATAACAATTAGCTTATCGTAGCTCCTCTTTTAATCGATTTTGGACTAGGTAATGTGAGCAAGCTCACACCGAATACATGATAATCACTTTCCACGTACAATAAAATTATGCATTTTAAAAAAAAAGGATCGAAGCATTTAACATTCAGAACTCATTGATTCGATTAATTTAATTCATGATTAGTAGGATTGAACCTAGCCACTGGAACACAAACCAAAGGATTGGCTCTAGGGACTGTGACACTACTACCTTCTTCCATGTCCACTTTACCATTATTATTACCTTCACCACCAACTTTCCACTCAAAGCATTGAATTATAGCAGCAAGACTTGTATGCAATATTTGCAATGCTAATGAAATTCCAGGACATCCTCTTCTCCCACACCCAAATGGCAAATAATGAAAATTATTTTGTCCCCTTACATCCAATATTTTTGTTTCATTCATAAACCTTTCTGGCCTAAACTCAAGAGGATTTTCCCAATATTTTGGATCTCTATTCATAGCCCAAACATTCACAAAAAGTCTAGTTTTTGCTGGTACATGATAGCCTTCAATAGTGCAGTCTTCACTGGATTCTCTAAGAATCATTGGAGCAGGAGAGTGAAGCCTTAGTGTTTCTTTAACAATGGCTTGAAGATAGGGAAGTTGAGAAATATCTGATTCTTGCACTAGTCTAGTTTTTCCAGTGATATTGTCAATTTCTTGGGCTGCTTTCTCCATAATATTTGGATGATTAATCAATTCTGCAAGTGCCCACTCCATTGCAATGGCTGAGGTATCAGTTCCACCAGAAAATAGGTCCTGTAAAATTTTTAAATACATATTGTCATTTAAAAAATTTCAAGAACTGAAAGTCAAGAAAATAAAGTTTAGAAAGCATCATATCAAGCCAGTGGCAAAACTTGGAATTTCCTTAAAGTATTCAAATTTGAAAGAAGTGGAATTTTCCTTCTAAAACGTAATATTTTACCTATATATACAGTGCGCTTTTTCGACAAAGGATGATCAACTGACCACCCTTATGACCATGTGGCTTCGCCACTGATATCAGCTGATGAACTTTCTAGACAAAAAAGTTCTATTGGTATCACTCCTAGATATACTCATCGTCTGCGAGAGGCGTATCTAACATAGACGCTATAGGTTCAACTGAACTCATGCCTACTTTTATCCATGGCAAGGAGCAGTGATGAAGATTATGCAAAGAAGGTGGATCAAGCATTGTCAAAAAAATTCAGGTCAAGGGGAGATTTCTTAGCTCCGTCCCTGCTGGCAATAAGTACACATATGTGACTCTATTTTTTCTTATAGTCTATTTAAAAAAGAATGATTTCTTTTTCTAAATTTAGAAATAGTTTAACTTGAACTGTTCATTTTACCGTTAATGACAAACTTTAATAGCCACATAAATATTATGACTTAAGATCACAAGTTTCAAAAGTATTCATTTCTTTCTTAAACTCTGCGCACGGTTAATAAGGTCACATAAAATGAAACAGGAAGTAATAAATATGCGAAATGATCTGTCATTGCTAGTGTTTGTATACTTGTGATGGCGACGCTAGGATTTTTTCAATGATGTTCAAATTTAAAAGAAGTGAAATTTTTTTCCGACACAGGATGTTCAATATGTGTCATATACCTCTAAAACGTAATATTTTACCTGTATACACAGTACAAGTTTTTGACAAAGGGTGGTCACTTGACCACCCTTATGACTATGTGGCTTCGCCACTGGATCATGAACCAGTTTGGCAGTTCAATGTTATGTGAGAATGAAAATAAGATATATAGCATGTTAATTACCAGAACAAAAGCTTTAATATTCTCTCTTGTCAATCGAATTTCTGAAGTGTTATCTTCTGAATTATCAAGTAAAATCTCAAGGAGATCCTTTGCAACTTCCTGATCACCATCATTCATTTTCTGCCTTTTCCTTCTTATTTCTTGATGCTCCTCAATTATGCTGTCCATAATCTCATCAAACTTGTCTCGAACACCCTTTAACTTCTTCCCAAAACCTTGCAAATCCCACTTCTTAAAAAACCAGAATATATCCGACAGATTAAATTTCCCAGATAGCTTAGCCATTTCAAGAATCATTTTCCTAACTTTTTCAGCTTCATGTTCATTTTCACAACACCCTTTACTCATAAGCATTCTTGTTATAACATTGTTTGTCATCGTCGTAATTTCACCACGAATATTAACTTCATTGCCAACTGCAGCATTTCTTGATAGTACTTTAATCAAACGCTTAATTTCGTCGCGTCTAAATGGAAGCAGAAGATGAAGAGTTTGTCCACCAAGAAGTTTAGAAATGCATAGCTTTTTCATGAACTTCCAATAAGGTCCATAAGGTGCAAATGAGAAGTCTTGGTGATAAGTTAAGTAATCAATATTGGATATTTTGGGACGATTTGAAAAGATAATCTCATTATTTTTGAGGAATTGTTTGACTATTTTAGGCGAAGAAGCAACCACACATGGAATAGAACCAAGGAATAAGTGAAATATTGGTCCATATTTGTTGGATAATTTGTGTAGAGATTCATGTGGTTTGTTACTTAAAAGGTGGAGATGGCCAATAAGTGGAAGCTTTAAAGGGCTAGGAGGAAGGCAAATTGTGGTTCTATTTCTTACTAATGCTTTAACTATAATGGTAGAAATAAGCCAGATGAAGAAAAGAAGGATATAGGCATGGATATCAACCATGATTGAAAGGTTTAGTTAGTAGATTATAATGCTAATGGTGATGCTGTTTAGTGCTATTTATACAACAGAATAATGTATCAATCGGCTGAATTTGTATATTTGTAGTAAGATGATGACAATATTAAATTATAAATTCAAAAAGACTGATGAGCTGGTACATATAAAATTTAGTACTTCTCTAAGGTATTTGTACTAGACTAGCTTTTCTTTGTCTTCTATCGACGCAAATAAGGTGGAAGATTTTATGTGAAGATTCCATTGTGCTTTGCTTAACTTATGACAATTTCCGACTTAAAACAGGTTTATTTTTACTTACTACTTGCAAAGTAAACAATGTTTCGTGTGCGAACAAAGTCGCACTTTAAGACTTGATAAGAAAAAGAAGTTTTTTTTTTTTTTGGTGCAAAAGATATATATTTATATAGATAATCAAGCTCTTACAGAGTTGTTCAGGTGATGCATTATAGGCATCGGATTTACATTAGTACTACTAGAGGCCCCGGTAGAGGAACCCTTAAGTAAAGCAAAAGTCGAATTGTCCAAACTACCATTAGAGTGGCTAGGTACCATACTAGCTAAACTACTACTATTACATCTAGTAGAACTGTTTTTAACCATTCTTCTTCTTAGTAGGCCTTGTTGATCTTGTTTATACACTGCGTTGGCAAAAGGTGGTGGATTCTGAAACAGTAGACATGATTCCCTTGTATGCTTGGCCCCAAAGTTGGCTAGGAGATCTGCGACACTATTTTGTTCCCTGTAAATACTGCGAACTCAAGCATAAATAGGCTCATCTAATCATTAACGAATTATTTTGTGATTATGTTAAAAATATACTAATAAAGAAGATATCATTTCGACCAATTTTGGTACCTGTAACAAAAGGAAAATAACTAGCACTATTTTACTGCTCTTTTTCTCAATAAATTTAGTGGTACATTCTCTTTGATTAGTAGGGACTAACTTAAAGTTTTATTAACTTAAAAATATTGTATTATATTCTATCCAATAGATCAATCACGTAAAATGAGACTAAAAGAGTGCTAACAAGATCTCTTATTAATTTATCAATTTCAAATCAGATTTTATTTTTAAGGTCCATTTCATTAATTTCTACATCTAACGATAATATTGTTAAATATATTATTTATGGAGTAAGTTTTACCGCAAGTAAAATAACGTAAAGACTTAATACTTTAGAAACTTACATATTAATTTAAATGTAATTATTTGGATTTAAAAATTCTGGCAATGAAGTGTTCGAGAATATAACTGGTATTTCCGTATAAGTGGGGTTTAAATTGGCATAACTAATGGATTACATGGTTAACTAAATAGTCATAAAATAAAAATTTGAATAAGGAGAATAAAAGAAATTTAAAGTTAAATTGCTCTTTTTAAATTAAAAATAGGACCTTTTGGGATTATATTGGACTACATAAGAAAATTTAACCAATTATAAAAGAATTGCATTTTGGAAGAAAATAATTTTTTTCCAAGATTTAGTTCAAACATTTTTTAAGAACCTAAACTTTCCGATGCTCTAAATTCGAGTTTTGGATATGTCATACAATCCACTATAAGTGGAACGGTAAGATGCACAAAATTATTTAGAACTAATAATGAATGATTTGGAGAGACGGACAATAATCGAAGAGAGTTGAACTAACTACAACACCTTGTCTTTAACTTGATTTAACGTTCAATAAATTTTTAAAAGAAGTTGCATACAGTTATGGCTGGCCACCACCTGATTCGCCATGGATGGTGGTTTTGATAACTTCAAAGTTATTTTGGGGAATAAATTATTTCTTTGATTTACTAAAAACCTAGAACAAACCCACTTAGTATAAAGTAGGTTATCATCGAAATAGCCTTATGTAAAGTTAGCGTGTCTTCCGCTTTCCTGTTTTTCCATTTGCCTTGAAAATAGGCGACTTTGTTAATGGGTTATTTGGGGCGTTTTTTGCTTTTGGGTTTACTGTTGATTTATTATTAGATTTATGGCATGCAATTGGTTCCTAATATTTGCGCCAATCTTGAAGTCAGGTTCCCCTTTTAAGCCGGCTACCCTCTTTTCAATCTTTAGACATCTTTGTTTGTTCCTTCTTTGATTTTGTGGTATATATGATTATCCCATGTCAGTTGGATACATGTAATTATTGTAGAGATATTTTTTAAGATGTGAGACATTTAGTGAAAATCGCACGGATTTGGTTCAAAATGGATATAATATTACACTATGTTAAAAAGTTTCTTTGGTCTAGCTCAACCCAACAAAATGATATTACAATTGATGGTTGTGCGCGACGAGTATGTAGTTCTCATGTTGTGCTCCATGAAGAGTTAATTAACTAAAAACTACAAGCCCAACCGAGTGATGTCGTGGAACATGTTCGTTTATTCCCTTTTTTGGTTGTTTTGCGAGATGCACACACTAAAATATGCTCGTGGGCTTTGGTGTCCATAAATAATGTGGATGACAAACAATCAATCTTATGAACACATAAATCTTGGTAATGGATAATGTGATACTTGCTTTTGGAGGAAATAATTAGATATGTGAACAAAGTCCCATATTGAAAGTTGAAAAGAAAAAAAAGCTACAATTAAGGTGAAGGGATGCTTTTAATAGTGAGATGCCATTTACCACCAAAGGATGTGGTCCAATGCGGGTACCGAACATCGGATGGAAAATCAAAAAAAAAAAAAAAAGATTCCTTTTGAAAAAAATAGAGTTTCCGCTAAAGTAAATAATATTACACCGCGTTAAAAATATCTTTAAACGACTCAGCCCACCACACTGAAAGACAAGCTGAAACACAATGAAATATTTAACATGTTATATGAGAATCTCATGCTATTGCAAAGGTTCACTAGTTTTACACGCAATGACAATTAAGAAAATGTCTATTTAGCATCTAAAAGTAATCGACAGCCGGCATATGAGTATGGTTTCCTAGTTATTTATCAAAGAGATGATTCTGGATATATTAATAGATTAATGGTTAAATAGTATACTTTTGTTCTATACTCTTACTCATATTTCTTGTCAATCTAAGCAATTGTTGTTTTCTGCAGTTTTCCTTCTTGTTGAAAATATTCTACACAGTACAACTTAGATTTAGGGAACAGTAAGCCGCTCAGATCATTGTTATATTCAACTAATGCTGTTAAACTAATCGACACATTGTGTTCACATGCTATTAATAAAAAAGAACCCTACTGTTCAAGTCACCACTATAACAATTCCTCGTGGAGATTGGCAGTTGGCACCATCGCCTAGGGTATCCCCACTCTAGAATCCTGAACTCTTTTCCGAATATATTTGAAAGTACAAGAGGAGGTGAATTGTTTATTTTTAAAATTAATTGCTACCAGTTGACTAGTTTTCTAATGAGTCGACTAGATATAACGAATTAATAACAGTAAGGACAGAATTTAAGATGCAGAAATTAAGTGCAGGAATTAAAGACATCGAAATTTTTATACTGGTTCGGATTCAATGTGAATCCTAGTCCAGTCCCCTTGGGTTGCAAGGGAGTTCTCTTTCAGTGAATGGGTTTCTCAAGTACACAGTGAATGGTGTGATCTATACCAATAGCTCAGTTCCTATATCACTCGTTTCTCTTTGATACAATGCCTCACCAGTGTTGTTCTCTTTTTCTTCTCTAACTTGTTACACAACAGATCTAGTAGAGCTACAATGTTTGTTTGTAGTGGAACAAAGAAAGGGTATTTGGTTCGATCAAAGTATCTGTGCTAAGGTACAGATACAAGTTTAAATACTTTGAGAGGGGCTTGATTTCTGGAGAGATTTGCCAACCCAAGAGATTTGATCCTTGGAAAGAGATTGATTCTTTCCAAGAATAAGGTTATTCAGCAACAACTTTGGCTTGACGAGAGGCTTTAATGACTTCCCTTATACGTGACTTGATAGCGCCGGATATCCTTCCTCAATTCTTGATCCTTCCAGATTTAGTATACTTGATTGATTATCTTGCAAGATCTTTGATACTCTTGATTGATTTGATTCCTTCAGTCTAGCCTTAATTAATTCCGTCAGTATCATTGATTCCTTTAATCTTGGATGTCTTTCTTGATTTTCTCTGATGGACTCTGTCAATCTTGTATGCTATTTATGGGTTCCTTGATTTTCTTTGATTGATTCCTTCAATCTTGAATGATATCCATGAGTTCCTATACAAATAATAAATATATTATTTTCATCATTAAAATTAGATCTAACAATCTCCCCCTTTTTGATGATGACAAAATAATATATGTATAAACATCAGTTGACTTCCCTGTATATTACTTCCCCCTCAATGAGAGCAGTTGACTTTCTCTGGTTGTAGCTATTGAGACTCATGCAGTCGACTTCTTCTGCAGGATCTATGACTCCCCCTTAAAAAGTGCCGATCTGCTAACTTTCACTTACCCTTCAGTTGACTTATCCTTGTATGTACCTATACAAATAGATATATCCTTTCTCCCCTTTTTTGACATCAGCAAAGAGGGAATAGTAAAACAAAACACATACTAAAACAGGATTTATAGCATGATATACTGGAAAGTTAGAGAAAACCAAAAGAAAAAAAAAATTATCCACCGACTGATTTTTCAGTCCAAAAATAGCACAGCAAAAGAAATATTGTCTTAAACTTCCACATTAACGACACAGAAAATAGGTAAGAGTATTGCAGATCGCCTCCTTCAGTCGATCAAAGCTGGCATTGGCTGAAACACTCATTCCATCAAGCCTGTCATGAACCTCCTTGAATGCCTTGACAGCGTTTTCCCTTACTGTGAGAACTGCAACTCTGATCTTGCAAACATCAGACCATGTTTCTTTGGAGATAGCATGAATGTCACCAACAGCGGATTGAGTGGCAGTGAGAAGATCTTTGATTGCAGAGAGCTGATTGTCAATGGCACTGAGCTTTTCAGCAAGGTCAGGATCAATGTGGCTAGGATGGGAAACAGAAGGTTTGGGTTTA